CAAGGTGTCAATCACATTCAGGAGCAAGGTATTTTCTATCCATAGTAGGTGATTATTCCAGAAAGTTATGGGTATTCATCCAGAAGACTAAGGTTGAAACTTTTGAGAATTTCAAAAGTTGGAAGAATCTGGTCGAAAATCAAACTGGAAGAAAGGTCAAGAGGTTGAGAACCGACAATAGCCTTGAATTTTGCAATGAGACTTTCAATAGTTTTTATGTTGTCTCTGGTATTGCAAGGCATAGAAATACTGCAGGTACTCCATAACAAAATGGTTTAGTTGAAAGGTTTAATCAAACTATTTCAGAGAGAGTTAAATACATGTTGACTAGTGGTGGGTTAAAGAAGGTGTTTTAGGCTGAGGCTATTTTGACAGCAACATATCTAATAAATAGATGTCCCTCGACTGCGTTAGATATGAAGACACCTGAAGAAGTTTGGTCAGGACATCCACCAGATCTTGACAAACTGAGAGTATTTTGGTTGCATAACCTATGCTCACATTAGGAAAGACAAGGTCGAACCTAGAGCTTTGAAATGAATGTTCATGGGATATCCGGAAGGAGTCAAAGCTTATAGGCTATGGTGCCTAGAGCCAGGTCACATGAGGAGTATCACCAGTCGAGAGGTAGTTTTTAATGAAGCTAAAACGGATTTCAAGAAAATTGATGATGTTGATCGAAGTGCATAAATAGCTGACGAAGAGCTGGAACAAGGAGAGATTCATGTTGAGGTGGAGCATGTTGTGTATCCCAGATGAAGTCAAAGAAGAAGAATACGACGTTGATAAAGTCGAGGAAAATATTGATGACTACCTATTAGCAAGAGATAAGATGCTAAGAGTCATCAAGCCACCTTAGAGAATTGGGTATGCATATCTTATGGCTTATGCCTTAATCTCTGCAAGTTAGGTTCTAGTCGAAGAACCTAGAGACCATAAGGAAGTTATGAGGAGTCGAAATAAGACTGAATGGATGAAGGCCATGGATGATGAGATGAAATCTCTTCAAGATAACGACACTTGGGAACTGATCAAAAACCTGTCGGAGCCAGGTTAATTAGCTGTAAGTGGATTTTTAAAGTTAAGGAAGGAATTAAAGGAGTGGCGTCGAAAAGATACCAGGCAAGGTTGGTTGCAAGGGGTTTCACTTGGAAAGAAGGTGTAAACTTCAATGATGTATTTTCTCTTGTGTTGAAGCACATGTCTATTTGGATGTTGCTTGCCATGGTGGCACAGTTTGACCTTGATCTGGAACAAATGGACGTGAAGACTGCATTCTTGCATGGTGATCTAGATGAAACAATCCGGATGAGAAAACCTGAAGGGTATGTCAAAAAGGGAAAGAAAGATTATGTGTGCTAGTTGAATAGATCTTTATATGGGTTAAAACAATCTCCTAGATAGTGGAATAGGAGATTCAACAAGTTCATGGCACACATAAGTTTCATTAGAAGCCAATTTGACCATTGTGTTTACTTCAGATTTCATTATGGTAATTCATTTGTTATTTTGTTGGTTTATGTTGATGATATTCTTATAGCAAGTAACAATGTCGAAGATGTAATAAGGGTGAAGGCTGAACTCGATAAGGAGTTTGAAATGAAAGATCTGAGAGCTGCATCCAGGATTCTTGGGATTGACATTCAAAGAGATAGAAATCAGTCAAAATTATGCTTATCTTAAGAGGCATACCTATGAAAGATTCTCGATAAATTTGGTATGTCGAATTCAAAGCCTGTTGTGACTCCAACAAACCCTCAATTCAAGCTGAGTATAGATCAGTGTCCCAGTACCAAGGTCGAAAAAGCTTATATGAATAGCATCCCATATGCTAACATAGTGGGTTCTTTGATGCATGTTATGGTTTGTACTAAACCCGACATAACATATGCAGTAAGTCTTATAAACATGTACATGACGAATCTTGGAAAGGCTCACCGACAAGCATTAAAGTGGATTCACAAGACGCATGCCTACAAGATTGCAAGAATGTGTGATTACATCAGGTGATGTGGTTGATAACAAAGGTGAACTGGTATATTATACTTTCTATGCAGATGTTAAACCAATCAATGCAGTTGAAGCGTTAAAGGATTCAAAGTGGGTGAAAGCAATGAACGAAGAAGTGAAGTCCATCGAAGACAATAATACTTGGTCACTTGTCGAATTGCTTTAAGGAAAGAAGGAAATTAATGTTAAGTGGGTATACAAAGTGAAGATGAATTACAAAGGGGAAGTAACTCGATATAAAGCAAGGATTGTGATGAAAGGATTTTATAGAAAGAAGGAACAAACTTCAATGAAGTTTTTGCACCTGTTGCTAGGATCGAAATAACCAGGTTAGTTGCTGGTCTAGCAGAAATAAATAGTTGGCACATATGTCAGATGGACGTGAAGTGTGCATTTCTAAATGGACCCTTAGACGAAGAAGTTTATGTTAAACAACCAGTTGGGTTTGTGAAACATGACGAAGAAAAAAAGGTGTACATGCTGCATAAAGGGAGAAGGATTGAAACAATCTCCAAGAGCTTGGAATAAGAAGATTGATAATTTCCTAAGGGAGAAGGAATTTATGAAGTGTACAACTGAATATGGAGTATATGTAAGAAGAAGCAATAGTAAAGTGATGATACTATGTCTCTATGTCGATGACTTGTTAATAACATATAACTGCAAGAAGGAGATCAAAGACTTCAAATATGATCTCAGCAAGGAATTTGAAATGTATGATCTGGATGACATTTCATATTTCCTTTGTATTGAATTCTATAAGAGCAGTAGAGGTTTGGTGATGCATCAAAGAAGATATACAAGTGAAATTCTCAAGAGATTTGAGATGGAAGAATATAACTCTACTTTGACACTTGCTGAACCAATATTGCAACTGTCAAAAGATGTAAATGAAGATAATGTCGATCCAACCTAATAGAGAAGACTTTTGAGTCATTAAGATACCTTTGTCCTACAAGGTCTGACTTAACATACAATGTAGGTATGGTAAGTAGATTCATGCAGAAGCTAAAGGTATCACATTTAGTAGCGGTGCAAAGGATGTTGAGATATCTGAAAGGAACTCTCGACTATGGTATTTTGTTTCATGCAGTTGATAAAAGAAAAGAATGCAAGTTAGTGGAGGTACACTGATTCAAGTTGGTGTAGTGATGTTGATGATAAAATGTCCACAGTAGGATACACGTTTATGCTAGGTGGTGCACCAGTTGCTTGGAGTTTGAGAAAGGAACCAGAGTGGCATTATCATCGTGCGAAGCAGAGTACATAACTGCTTCTCTTTGTGCATGTCAAACAACTTGAATGGTGAATTTGGTCGAAGAGATTACAGGTAAAGATCATGGAGAAATTACCATGAAGATTGACAACATGTCAGCTATCAACCTGACGAAGAATCCGATAGCTCATGGTCGAAGCAAGAAAATTGAAATGAGGTTCTACTATCTTCGAGAGCAGATAGCCGATGGAAAGATGAACTTGGAACACTACAAAACTGAGAATTATATTGCAGACATCATAACCAAAGGTGTACAAATCGAAGTATTTCAAAGACTAAAAGCTATGATGAATGTATATAACTTAGAAACAATGAATTAGGTGGTGTGTGAAAGTAATTCCTTGTGTCGAAGCAGTTTACTCGACAGAGACGAGTGAATGTCAAAAAAATTTGATTTGATTTAGAAGTGTGGAAAAAGTTTGTTACACACAAATTTGTTTTAGATTTAGATATATTTGATTTAGATCTAAAATAAATAGATTTGATTTAGTTCCAAAATATGTATTTCGGGCTTTTATAGTTTTGGGCTTTACCTTAGGGAGCAAGCTAACCTAAAATCATAAATAGAGGGAGTAACTCCTATTTTTGTAATTAAGTCAATCAATTTGTATTAATAGAATTTGCAGTTGCAAGTGAATAATAAAGTTTTCCACAGTTTGGGGCAGAGAGAAATTCTGCAGAAAAATACTTTATTTCTTTCTTCATCTTTTATTTTTCATTGTCATTGTGTGGTGATATCAATCTTGTTCATCAAGATTGATGAAAATTCATCATAGATTTTAATGGATTTCCAACAACGGACACCAATATTCATATATGTACTTGTACCATATGGATACCTCAATAATCATACCCGTGTCTGTTTACTCATGTTTGTAGTAGAATTAAATCAATTCATTACAAAATATCATATAACTTAATTTTTTTTTAACAATATTAAAAAAATCATGGATGTTATTGTTGAGTTAAGAAACAAATATACACTCTTATTAAATGTGTAATAGTTTAATAACGATATATTTTTAAAAAAATTGACAAACGTGCATTTTCATATATTAATATAAATGATATTATATAAATATATAATGCGAGTACGAGACGAGATAGATAGTAAGTATCAGTGTTCACACTCATACTTGTTTATTTTAACGAGTAATTGTCCCTGCCAATATTTATATCTATTTTGTGCATTTTTACGCTACCCATTATATACATGTTTTAAAGGTATCTAGAGGGTATGAGTCAAATTACGATTCATAATTCCATGAAATTCTATCAATTCAAACAAATTTTAATGTCTCTTTTAAATTAATAATCAATGATAAATTAATAAATATCTACGCAATTAGAAGAAATCTCCGTTTCATTTGACGAGCCTAAAAAAATGACTATAGTTTTTTTCATATATATATTCAAAAATTTATATTTGTTTAAAAATAGTTAAATATAAAATAAGTTTTTATATATTTTTCATAATCAAATGGAAATATTTTTCTGCAAAATAAAAAAATAGAAAATTGTATACATATCGTGTTGAAAAAGAAAAACGAAGATGCTTAGAAAAGTATCACACACACGCACACTATTAAAACTCTCAACAAACCCTTTTCTCAGTTTTCTTCTTCGTTCAATTTCCTCAGATCGCAATTCCAATAATCCCAAACCCAAACCCTAACCCTAACTTTTCAAATTCTTCGCGATACACTTCTCAGCCATGGCGACGACGTTGGTGAGCTCTGCCGGTGGTATGTTGGCGATGCTCAACGAGTCTCATCTCTCGCTCAAGCTTCACGCTCTCTCTAACCTCAACAATTTGGTTGACAGCTTCTGGCCTGAGATCTCCACCAGCGTTCCTCTCATGTATTCGTTTTCTCCTTTTGTTTATCGATTTATGTGTTTTTGATTCTCAATTTCTGTTCCTTTTGGTTTTTGAATTTGAATGATTATGCCCTTTTTAGATGTCAAGTAGTTAGGTTTTTCAATTGCTTCACTATTATTGGTTAGTAATGAAGAAAAAACTTCAATTATAACATTAGCTTTGATTTCAATTACTTTTGAGTAGTTAAATTATATATTTGTAGGAGTCAATTTCAATCCGGTAGCTTTAATAGAAGAAATTCATTGTAATCTTGAAAGTATGTATTCTAAATCAAGGGGGTTTATGCCATAATGTGGTTTTTTTTTGTTGTTATTGTGGCATTCTGTTCTATTTTTGGGTGTGTTCATATTAATGCCATGATTCTCTCATGTTTCTTGGTTGAATTAGTTTTTTAAGTGTTAAGTGTTGGAATGGGAATGTTGAAGATTAAACATGTGTGTTTCAATTGCTTCACTATTATTGGTTAGTAATGAAGAAAAACTTCAATTATAGCATTAGGTTTGATTTTTCAATTATGTTTTAGTAGTTAAATTATGTTTGCAGGAGTCAATTTTAATCCGGTAGCTTTAGTAACAGAATTTCAGTGTAGTTTTGAAAGTATGTATTCTAAATCAGGGGGGTTTATGCCTAAATGTGAAATTTTTTGTTGTTATCGTGGCCTTCTGTTCTTTCTTTTTGGGTGTGTTCATGTTCATGCTATGATTCTATCTTATGTTTCTTGGTTGAATTGGTTTTTTAAATGTGAAGTGTTGGAATAGGAATGTTGAAGATTAAACACGTGTGTTTTGTGTGTATGTGTTAAATAGAGAGAGTTTGTATGAAGATGAGGAGTTTGATCAGCACCAAAGGCAACTTGCTGCACTGCTTGTATCTAAGGTATTATTATTTTGCTAACTATTTGACTATCGTCTTCTATTTAAAATTGTGCGTTGCAGATGTGTTTTTTTCCATGATATTTGAGATATAACTAATAAGTATTGGCTTACATCCTTTTTTATCGTACCCGGCTTCTTTGATGCTGGAGTTGGTCTCATAGTTTGTGTTTTGGTATCTGATTTTGATCATCTCCTTAATCTCAGGTCTTTTATTACTTGGGGGAGCTGAATGACTCACTATCCTACGCCCTTGGAGCTGGTCCTCTGTTTGATGTTTCAGAGGATTCTGACTATGTCCACACTCTTCTAGGTAAGAATTGTTATTTGGTTTTATTCTATTTAATTTAAAGCCATATACTGATCTTTCTGGATATCATTTTGTATATGAAAACAAGCTGCATTGGTAATATTGGTTCAGTTGGCGGTGTTACTTTTTAGTGGTTTTATTCATTTCGATTTGATTTAATGAAATTAAAAATAATGTCACTAATATAAATTAATTTTGTGCTACATTTATAAAATTTAAAATCACGACACATTGCATTTGACACTGTATAAAATCTTATGTTTTCAGCTAAAGCTATAGATGAATATGCTAGTCTCAAGTCTAAGGCAGCGGAGTCAAGCGATGATTCTATCAAAGTGGACCCAAGGCTTGAAGCAATTGTTGAGAGATTGTTGGATAAGTATGTTTAACTGTAATTATTCTTATGTTTCGTTTTTTGTATCCAAGTGTGCCTTAAGGATGAGTTCCCTCATTTTTTGTTGCTTTTCCTTAATTCAGGTGTATAGTGGACGGAAAATACCAACAAGCTATGGGAACTGCCATTGAATGCAGGAGATTGGATAAACTTGAGGAAGCAATTACAAAGAGTGACAATGTTCAGGGAACTCTATCATACTGCATTCATGTCTCTCATTCCTTTGTGAGCCTTAGAGAATACAGACAAGAGGTAAGTGACATTTCTTATACAGGGGCGGAGTGTGCTACCATGGGCTAGCCCTGGCTACCCCATTTATTAACATTTTTTCAATTAGTTAGAATGTTTTTATATTTATATACTCTAATAGTATATATTTAGTTTAGCTACCCGAAACATGTTTATTTTCAAAAAGTAGTAGAATTAGGAAGGTTGAAAAATGATTGTTTAATTGATAAATTTATTTGTCTTGTTCTGTCACTTCCAGCCCCTACAGTAACTACAATGAGAGCTTTGCCAGCAATAAAGTTATTTAGACAAGGCTCTAAAACAAAACAGACGATGAATTTCTTGCAAGTATTTTTTCCCACATTGAAATAGAATATTACTAGTTCATTTTTTTAGTACAACATCAATTACGGATGAATTTGACTATTTGAAGTGTCGTTGAATTGAACTCGGTATTTTTAAGCAGCTACTGTCAATTTTTATTTCCGTTGTGGTGCTTTAATTTGCATTTTATGTAATTAAAATTGTTGTCATTTTTCTGATTATTAATTAGTTAATAATATATTAATTTTAAGCAGCTATTTTATTTATTCTTTATAGTTGGCCCCTTGGTAGATTTTATGCTAGCTCTGCCACTGAACTTATAGTGATGTTGAAGGCCTCCTACACAGAATTTATCCAGCGAATCTTCCTTTCTTTTTTTTGTCTCTTTAATTCTAGTTATTAGGTTATATTCAATAGAAACTGTTTCTGATAATCATGTCTTTGGATGTTGATGCTTAATAGGATTCTTAAATCTTTATCAACTGTGGATGATAGGATGAATACTATAGGAAATTGGTATTGAGCATATTGTATAAATGAATAAAAGTTGTTCTTTGGCTACTTGATATGTGGCATATATAGAAACTTGCAAAATGTGAGAAAGACTTTTTAACAATGGTGTTTCCAACAAAAGTTGATATTATTCCATGTTCTTTTTGTCTAGGTTCTCCGTCTCCTTGTTAAAGTATTCCAAAAGCTTCCTTCACCAGATTATCTTAGTATTTGTCAGTGTCTTATGTTCTTGGATGTGCCGGAGGGTGTTGCGAGCATATTGGAAAAACTTCTACGTTCTGAAAACAAAGATGATTCTCTTTTGGCATTTCAAATAGCTTTTGATTTGGTAGAAAACGAGCATCAAGCTTTTCTTCTAAATGTTAGAGATCGCCTTGCATTGCCAAAGTCTCAACCTTCCGAATCTGTAGAGCCAAAACCCAGTGATGCAGATTCTACTCAGAATGCTGGCGTGAATGGAGCAGATGATGTTCCAATGGTTGATGGTGAATCGGCTTCTGCTGTCAGTGTGCCTGAGGATCCAAGTGAGAAGTTGTATGCTGAGAGGTTAAGCAAAATAAAGGGAATTTTGTCCGGGGAAACTTCAATACAGCTGACTCTGCAGTTCCTTTACAGTCATAACAAGTGAGACCATTTTCTTTTATAATATTTTTAGATAGCCGTTTCTTTGTTGTTAGTTGGTAGTATGTTAGTTCTTATACTGCTTGGATGTAATCTGCATTCAGATCTGACCTCCTTATTCTGAAGACCATAAAGCAGTCTGTCGAGATGAGAAATAGTGTCTGCCACAGTGCTACCATCTATGCCAATGCTATAATGCATGCTGGAACAACTGTGGATACTTTCCTGCGGGAAAATTTGGTCAGTTATTACTGCTTAGTTTTTGTTTCCCCCTCTTTCCCTGCAATTTCCCATTCTTAAGATTTTTTGTCCCTTGAAAATTTTAGGATTGGTTGAGCAGAGCCACAAATTGGGCCAAATTTAGTGCAACAGCTGGACTTGGTGTTATACATAGAGGTCATTTGCAGCAGGGAAGATCACTGATGGCACCTTACTTGCCTCAGGGTGGGACAGGTGGTGGTGGTAGTCCATACTCAGAAGGTGGTGCTCTCTATGCCCTTGGTCTGATTCATGCCAATCATGGAGAGGGCATCAAACAATTCCTCCGTGATAGCCTGCGCAGTACTACCGTTGAGGTGCTCATAAATATTGATCATCCTCTGTTAAAAAAAGATTATTGCTATATCTAATGTGTTGTTTATGGCCAGGTCATTCAACATGGTGCATGTCTGGGTCTTGGATTGGCATCCCTGGGAACTGCTGACGAGGATATTTATGAAGAAATAAAAAATGTTCTCTACACTGATAGTGCTGTTGCCGGTGAAGCTGCTGGAATCAGTATGGGCTTACTCATGGTTGGAACAGGCAGTGATAAGGCAAATGAAATGCTCACTTATGCACATGAGACACAACATGAAAAGATTATAAGGTAAGGATTTTTCACCCGGCAAGCTGTTAAACCACCGCTTCTCTTGCTCTGATTATTTACGATTTTTAAATATTTCAGAGGGCTAGCACTGGGAATTGCTCTTACAGTTTATGGCAGAGAAGAAGAAGCTGACACTTTAATTGAGCAGATGACTCGTGATCAGGATCCAATATTACGTTATGGTGGCATGTATGCACTGGCTTTGGCCTATAGTGGAACAGCAAACAATAAGGCCATTCGTCAATTACTGCACTTTGCTGTGTCGGATGTGAGTGATGATGTTAGGAGGACTGCAGTCCTAGCATTAGGATTTGTATTGTACTCTGATCCAGAGCAGGTTAGTTCTGTCCTTTTCTTTTTTATTTTCCTTTGTCCTAAGTTGCATTTCTGTGGCTGTAGTCTGTTTTCGTTGATTTTGTTGAGATTTGCAATGTTACTTTCCTACACTGCAGACTCCGCGAATCGTTTCTCTCCTATCAGAATCCTACAACCCACACGTTCGTTATGGAGCGGCTCTTGCTGTGGGTATTTCCTGTGCGGGTACAGGTCTCAGTGAAGCCATATCTTTGCTGGAGCCTTTGACATCGGATGTTGTTGATTTTGTTCGTCAGGGTGCCCTCATAGCAATGGCTATGGTCATGGTTCAGATTAGTGAAGCTAGTGATTCACGTGTTGGAACATTCAGGTAAGAAAAGTTGATTATATTGATGTTGATGCAATAAATTTGTTGATTTCTGACATGCCTTGTATTCTAGGCGACAATTGGAGAAAATTATCCTGGACAAGCATGAGGATACCATGAGCAAGATGGGGGCAATTTTGGCCTCTGGAATACTTGATGCTGGCGGAAGAAATGTGACCATAAGATTACTTTCTAAGACAAAGCATGATAAAATTACTGCAGTAGTCGGTCTTGCAGTTTTCAGCCAGTTTTGGTATTGGTACCCTCTTATCTATTTCATTAGCTTGGCTTTTTCACCAACGGCTCTTATCGGCCTCAACTACGATCTGAAATCTCCAAAGTTTGAGTTCTTGTCACATGCAAAACCTTCACTTTTTGAATACCCTAAGCCTACTACTGTTCCCACCACTACTTCAACTGTTAAACTTCCAACAGCTGTTTTGTCGACGTCAGCTAAGGCCAAAGCTCGGGCTAGTAAGAAAGCTGAAGAACAGAAGGCTAGTGCTGAAGTTGCATCTGGTCCCGACTCTACATCCGCTTCAAGTGCTGGAAAAGGGAAGTCTTCAAGTGAGAAGGATGGAGAAGCTATGCAGGTGATGCATATTTTGGTTTATCAGTTTGTTAGATCCCATCACTTGTATGTTTTCTGTTTAAAGTAATTGATTTCTATGTGCAACTTTTTAACATTTCTAAACTTTATTGTTTTAAAGGTTGATAGCCCAGCGGAGAAGAAATCTGAACCCGAGCCTTCTTTTGAGATTCTAACAAATCCAGCAAGAGTGGTTCCTGCTCAGGAGAAGTTTGTGAAATTTTTGCAGGACAGCAGATATGTACCAGTTAAGTTGGCACCTTCAGGATTTGTGCTTCTTAAAGACTTGCGTCCTACTGAGCCTGAAGTCCTCGCCATCACTGACACACCTGCATCTACCACATCAACAACTGCTGGCGGATCAGGAGCAGGATTGCAGAGTTCTTCATCAGCAATGGCTGTGGACGAGGAACCTCAACCTCCTCAACCATTTGAGTACACTTCATAAGTTTGCTTTCAATATTTGTCAAGGTGCTTAGGAAATTGCTTCTCCTGAAAAGGTAGCTATATGAATGAACTGTTCAAGTCACTACTACTTCATCTATTGCCCACTTAAAGTCATTATTGGGCGCAAATTTCTTTTTCCTTAATGGACTTTAGCGTGGTATTTGCTCCACTATGTGATTAGTCTGTCAATTGATTCTAACTATATGTTATTCAAAGTGGGGCATAGAAGCAGCATGGAGCTGATCTGCAATGTTTACTGTGTTTTTGTTTCCTATAATGGTCACTTAATGTGGCCAAGGTTTCTGTAGTAGACCGTAGAGTAGTGGTTCTGTTGAGGATGTTCATTTAAAATGTCGCAACTCTTTCATGTTTGCAATTTACTGTTCGCAATTCCCGAATTTCTCAAGTGAATTTAAGCTTTCGTACACCTATGATTCGTTAAGTTCTATCACTGCTGGAACTTGGTTAGATTTATATATTTCTTATTCATTAAAATCCTTATCCTTTCACTTTTAAAGCAGAAAATTGAAAACTAAATTGTAGTGAATATTTAAAAAATAAAATTTCCCTTTTATTAATAGGATCTTTATAGTTAGACAAAATATTTGAAATTGAATTAGGTTTGGTACCCTCATCTTATCTTATACACCAACTTTCGAGAGTGGAGTCTAAATCCATTTACCATGATTAATACCCAAAATTTATAAGGAATATGATAATTAGTTCTACTAGATCTGTGCTGTCTTATCTTATAAGCTATTTCTGAAAGCTGTGTTGTCTTATATTATAAGCTAATTTTGAAAGTTGTTCTGGATGTCCGACACACGATGGAAGGCCCAAAAATAGGCATCGCACAGAAAGTCGTGTATAACAATGTGTGACCAAACCTTAGTAAATAGGCATCACACAGAATGACTTGTAAACATGTGTGACCACACCCTAGTTGAGGATAGGTTAGGCATCTCACAGAAAGACTTGTATAACATGTGTGACCACACCCTAGTTGAGGATAGGTGATTGATTCTGTCACCCGGAGTATCTTCCACCTATAGATCTGATTGAGCGACAACATGTATATGGCGGCACATCGCATATGGACGGTTTTAACCTCTTCCACTATAAAATCTAACAAGTGCTACTTTAGGTTTATTTTTTCATACACTCAAATTATTTTCTCACACATTGATTTACTTGAACGTTGGTGTGCTAGTCTTGTAGATCCACCTTCTCTTGCCGTATCGAAAGCTAATTCCATTCCACTGGAACTCGATTCCATTCGATCTCTATCATTTTTTAGTTCCAGTTTGAAACAATAGCATCGTCTGTGTGAATCAACTTCTAATTCTCGTGAGTCTCTATGAAGAACCACCGTCTCTTCACCGTGATTATAGATTGTCTATCTTTTCCCTTTCACATCGCTGATATTTTCTCCTTCAAACCACCAATCTCTTTCACGTACAGATCGCTGATTGAATTCCTACTACCACGACAACATCGAAAGTCACCCGCTCACCTACTGTACACGACGCCATCGCAAGTACTACTGCAACCAATGCTTTCAATCTTGTAAGGGAGGTTCCTCTTCCTTCGCCGATCGAAGATGTTTCAACTTTATTCACTCCTCCTACAGTTCAAACGCCGCAAAATCTAGCACTTCAAACGGTTGGACATGGAACCTTCCAAGATCTTTTAATTTCCCAACCTTCCCAATAAATGCTCCAAGGCCAAATGTCAAATAAGCCTTCATCACAATCTATAATTTTTTAATACGAAATGTGTAAGTTTCAGAGTGCCTAAGAGGGGGGGGGGGGGGGGGGGGAGGGGGTGAATTAGGTCTTATAAAAATTTATTCGGTTTTATGAGAATGCTTGGTAGTAATTTTTGGTTAAGTGTTTGAAGGCTTTGATTATATCTTTATCTTTTCCTGATTATGGTTATGAAAGCGATAAATGCGGAAAAGTAAAGAACACGGTGATATATCCTGGTTCTCCTCACAATTCGAGAGTACTCCAGTCCCCTTTCCAACACGAAAGAGATTTCACTATAGTTAGAATGATTGTACAGCCTATGCTTACTATCTAACCTATAGGGTGATCAAAGGTTCTTAACACCTTTAAAACCAAATAAACACTAATGTGAATGAAGAACAATCCTCTTCAAATAACAACACTTACTTCCAACAATCCTGGATAGTAAGGGAAAATCTTTAATTAATACAATGATTTAGTTTGAAGTATATGGAGAGCTTTATCAATCTTCAATTGATCTTCTTCTTCTTGATAAAAACAATTCTCAACAATGTATATAAATGTTCACAATGTATGAATGAAATTTGAAATGATAATGAAAGTGTATGTGGCAAGTTTCACAAAATTATGAACACATGAAAGTTTAAATTCAAATGTGAGTAAATGAGAAAATTGTTAATGAAGAAGTATATTTGTTAATTTGAAAATTGAAGTATTGAACATTGTTTGAAAATAAGAAAATCTGCATTTTATAAAATTGTAAGAACCTCTTCATTCATGTCAATTCATATGAAAAGTTGCAATGCATTCATGAAAAGATACCACTTGAAAAATGTTCAAAAAACAAAGTAAAAGCTGCATTGGTTCGCTATGAACCGGTTCCGACACTGACAGAACCCGGTTCTTAGTGAACGTTAGAAGTTGGAATTCAAATTTATCACGCAGGAACCGGTTCCCCTATTGGTACAACCCGGTTCCTGGTACAAAATCCAGGGACATATTTTTTGAGAAAAGCTGGAACCCGGTTCCCTGTTAGGGAGGAACCGGTTCCTAAAGGTTTATTTTCAAAAATACATTTTGAAAGATATTTCAAACAAATTTTTTCTTGATGTTAAAGTTATGGAATATGTATATGTTGATGAATGCATATTGTGAACATCTATATTCAAGATTTAAAGAATTATTTATACCATTTTGACATTTGATGATTTCTTCAATAATTCTTCAATAATCTTCAAGACTTTTATTTGATGTTGATAAGCTTTTTACACATCCTTTGAAAGTTGTTGTTCAAGTTGTCTTCATCAAAACACATGCTTTAAATATGACTTGAGAAGCTTGCAATTACATTCTCCCCCTTTTTGATGATGACAACCAAGTCTTGAAAACGAATTCTTGAAATGTTCATGTTGTTTTGTGTAGCAAACATGATTCTTTGAATTTTGGAGAGAGTTTGATATTTATTTGGGCCTGCAATTTCTTTGAAACAAAACAACACACATGCATACTCTTCTCCCCCTTTGTTAACATCAAAAAGGATGGGGAAAAAAGAGTGAAATAAATACATATAAAAATTAAGACGTGTATCTTAAGAGAAACATTAGATATCACCTTCATCCAAAATACCAAGTTCTCTTCGGATTTTGAAGAAAGGTTCTCGAGCAAGCGGTTTAGTGAAAATATCTGCGAGTTGGTTATGAGTATCCACAAAAGTGACTTCGACATCTCCTTTAAGTACATGATCACGGAGAAAATGATGTCGAATATCTATATGTTTGGTTCTTGAATGCATGACCGGACTCTTTGTAATATTGATAGCACTTGTATTATCGCATCGAAGAGGAATGCATCCGAGATCAAGTCCGTAATCACGGAGTTGTTGCTTGAGCCAAAGAATCTGTGCACAACAACTACCTGCTGCTATGTATTCTGCTTCGGCTGTGCTAAGAGCAACACATGCTTGCTTTTTACAAGCCCATGATACTAATGCATTTCTAATAATGTGACAAGTACCACTTGTGCTTTTACGATCAGTTTTACAACCTGCATAATCCGCGTCAGAATAACCAATTAAAGTGCAAGTACTACCTTTCGGATACCATAAGCCGACATTGATTGTTCCTTTAAGATACTTCATGATCCTTTTAACTGCCATGAGGTGTGTTGTACCCCAAAATTTGCCCTCCCATTTCTCATTGATTTCTCATCACAAAGCCCTTGAAGCTCAAGATCCAGTTAGGGTTTCATCTGCTCAAGACTTCTCCTTGCACTGTTGACCCAGATTAGGGTTTGTGTTTACACAAAGAGGTTTTGACCTAAAATGCCTAAGATGACTTTCATGCTTCATATTGGACTCCCAAGTTTATCCACATCAAGTTTCAAGCCATGATTCCAAATTTTGCCCAGTCAATTGGACAGTTGACCTGGAAATCAGCTGTATTAGGGAAAGAGTCAACTGTGGCCAATTGACAGTCAAATCTCATGAAAATTGACCCACATCAACATTATGAACTCATATGGACCATTTGATCAAGTTTGGATCACAATTCCACAAGAAATTTGATCAGATCACCAAAAGGGCAAAATGGTCATTTTTAGGGTTTTGACTGCACAAAGGCAATTTTTGACTGTTTGACCTAACCAATGGAAATTCAAGCTCACATATGGACTCAAGGACCCCATGGAATTGTCTTGACATGCTCAACAAGTTCAAAAGATCCCAAATGCACAAGATTGACAATTGAATTTCCCAGTCAATTGATCAATTTTGACTGTGTACTGAAAAGTCAAACTTTGACTTTTTGGTCAAAATCAAGAGTCAAGATTCATTTTTCATCAAAACATGCCAAATCATGAAACTTGTTCATCAAGAAATCAAGAATTGCAAATTAGGGTTTGAAATGAAGATTTTTCATAACTTAGAATTTTTCTAAGTTATGAAAAACCCTAATTTTTTCCTAACTTTGCCTCACTTTCTCACCAAGATTCATTTGGATTCAAGCAAAAGTCAAAACATGAAAGTTGTAGCCTATTGCATAATCTACAACTTTGATTCACAAAGTTTTCCCAAAAGAGGCTTGTATCTCAAGTTACAATTTTTGGAACAAGGGTACCAAACCATTCTTAACTTAGAGAAAATTTGACCTATTTTAGGCAGGATTTTTGCCTAACTTCAAGACCATTTTTCACATGCTTCCACTTGGAATTTCAATTTTCATTTCAAAGATGGATTGTAGTATACATTCCAAGCTTT